TTGATTTTAGACGGCTGGGTCGTCTCGGTAATTTCTCTGGAGAACGCCGTTGGCTGTTCCCCAAGGTTGAGCAGCCGGAGCTGCCAGTCCATAGGCTGGACGGGCGACTGATGCTGCCCCCCGAAAATACCTGCCTGTGCATAGGGGGATCCAAAGGGCGTATACGGTGTTCCATGCACTGCCGGTTGGATCATATGAGGGCCGGATCGAGCGGAAACCTCGCTCGTCCGGCTGTCATTGTTTGTTCTCGAGTGCCTTTCTGAGGTGGCATTGAAGCTGTCTCGAAAGGTCGATGTTGATGCCGACTCGGATCGCTGAGTCTTTTTATCTTGGATAAGCGTCCGGGCATCAGAATAGACTTTCTTGGTTCCATCCGGCTGAATGTGCCGGACGGGCTTTCTGACTCCATCTATAGGAGTGTGCATCTTTGAGAAATCAAAGAGCCTAGCTGGCATGTCTGACTTCGGGTGTGGGGTAGATGCTCTACCCTTGACTGTTTTGGCCGTCTTTTTACCGTGACGCCTTTCTTCCGCCTGACCCTTACGGGGGCCGGCTGTGGAATCCAGAAGGCCTTTGATCTCTCCTTTGAAGCTCATCATCATATTCATGAGCTCATCTCTGGAGACTGGGGAGTCTCCAGCGGTAGAGGTTAACCCAAGCGGCCCCCTAGTTGGCTTGCTAGGAGCCGCCTGGTTCCCTTCCCGTTCTCTCTTATCCTTGGAACGGGTGTTCTTGGTCCTCAAAGAACCATCTGCAGCAGTGTAGGCTTCCAAGTCATAGTTATCGGCTGTATCTTGGTCCGAATGGACCTCAACCTCCCCAGTAGGCATATTGCTTTTACCAGGTAGTATAGGCTCAGATGTCATCTAGAAAGTACTCTCCCCACAGACGGCGCCAGATGTTTCGGGGTTTACTGTGTCCTTCGGGAGAGTTACAATTTCCTAGCAGACTTCCTTCTTACGCCTGTACCTGCACCTAGCCGACTTCCTTCTTGCACCTGTACCTGCACAAGTAACGGAGACTCCGGATGGGGGGTGGGAGTTCCGCCTCCGAAGATTAAGTTAGTATCTTTTCGAAGTGGAATAAGAACTGTAAAAGCTTCTTGGTTCGAGAGCGTTTCAGTAGGTTTAGGCTTTGTTTGGTTTTTTTGTGGTTGCAATTAATGTCTGTCCCTCATTAATGAGGTCTACCCTTACTATTTATAGTAAGGGAGAACTGTACCTCAATAAGGGTATAAGGGACACGTGTCTGCAAAGGAAATGGGCCTTTGCAGACTGCTGAAAGATTGACACGTGTCAAGCATTTATTGGGCCACGTGTCTTAGGTATTTTCACCCTAAACAAAGGGTTTGCGCGAAAAGGACACGGAGATGCCCCGTGTCACAGCACAGGTACCGTGACACGACATTTTCCACCGTAGCACGGTAGAGTACACCGTGTCACGGTAAAAAAAAAAGTATGCGGAAATTACACGGAACATCCCCGTGTCACGAAATGGGCACCGTGACACGGGAAATTGTTTAGTGACATAGTGCAAAATCCCGTGACACAGTGGATTAAACTAGCAGAATTACAAAAAAAAGGCACCGTGTCACGGCAATAAGCCCCGTGACACGTCAGCATTTGCCGCATCGCGGCGTTTTAGCTGCTGCGCAGTAATTCCATTTTTTTAACCGTTTTAAAAATTGCGATAACTTTTGATCCTTAACTTGGAATAAGGAATATAATATATCATTGGAAAGCTTATAAAGTCTAATTTCCAACCCAATTAAATTCAGGTCAAAATAATTTGTAGATTTTATGATATATCTATTTTAGTGGAAGGGTGTCGGTTTTGGGCCGAGTTTAGTGTTTTGCTCATATCTTTTTCGTTATAGCTCGAAATTGAGCTTATGATATATGGTTGGAAAGCTTATTAAAAGGCCTGTCAACCTAAATAATAATTGGATCAAAATATATATCCATAAAATCAGTTCAGCTCGGTTTTGTGTTGTGGATAAGAAAGTAGGAAAACAGGTTATGGTTTAGGGAAATGAGCTAGGAATTGGATTGGTTCATGAAATATATTGGATAAAACATGGATTTAAGCACTCCTAAGATTAAATACTCAAATCAACCAATAATGGTGGTGAAAGGTTGTTCATCATTAAGTTTGTAGAAACGTTAGTTTCGAAAACGATAGTCAAAGTAGTCGATAGGGAAGGAGAATGATTTAAGATGTTCTGCGATCCTAAATCACTCTGTATACACCGATACCTGCAGAAAAATTTTAATTCCACAAATAAAAGAATAAAGGGATAGAATGCGTATCTGACACTAGTGTATCAGTGACAAATGAATTTGATAGCTTCCTATGCTTGAAGGAATCCACCGGATGACGTTTTGTTGAAACACTTTTTATGCCCGAGGAAAGTCGACTAATGAATTTGGTAGCTTTCTAAGCCTGAAGAAACCTACTGGATGATACTTTCTATGCTTGAGGAAAACCGACATATGATTTTGGCGTTTTTCTACGCTTGAAGAAATGCACCGATAATGCTTTCCATGCTTGAGCAAAGCCGACAAAGGAATTTAACGATTTTCTATGCTTAAAGTTACCCACCGATAACACTTTCCATGCTTGAGGAAAGTCGACATATGATTTTGGCAGCTTTCTATGCTTGAAGAAATCCACCGAATGACACTTTCCATGCTTGATAAAGTCGAAAAATGATTTTGGCAGGTTTCTATGCTTGAAGAAATCCACAGGATAATACTTTCCATGCTCGAGGAAAGTCGACAGATGATGAGATTGCAAGTCTCTATGTAACGAGAACCTTGCGCCGTGAAATGATGGTGGTTAGATTATCCCCGAACGTAGGCTGTAGTTGGTTCGCTTGTCCCCGAACGTGGGTTGTAGATGGTCCGCTTATCCCCGGACGTGGGCTGTAGATGGTCTGCTTGTCCCCGAACATGGGCTGTAGATTGTCCGCTTGTCCCCACTGTAGATGGTCCGCTTATCCCCAGACGTGTGTTGTAATTGAGACCTGCAAAATAAAATTAACCAAGGGATTCGTATAAACTATGATTGACTTGACAAACTGACTTGACCAAGCTTTGACTAGTCACGACATGACATGTGTATAACTTATGGTTGGGTGCGTATATGGTCTGTGTGTGTGTGCAGACACAGGCAACCGAAAATGCAAAAGCAAAAAATTTTCCGTCATTTTTGTCATGAAACAAGTGGAGGGTGCCGATTTTCTCCCGTAAAGAAATACATGAAAACTAAACATTTATTTTTAAACTTCCCTCGATGAGAAAAATTTGAAAAAGTTTTTTGAGCTTCCCCAAAAGAAAAGACATGAAAAAGGGAAGAAGGTTTGAACTTCCTCGTTCAGCAAGACGAAATGAATCACATTAATTGAATTGCTTTTCTTGAAGATAATGTATGCATGATTCATGTTCTTAGGCCAGGAGGCTAAGGACAATTACATCATGTGACACGATAGATGAATGAACTTAGGTCATGGAGTTAAGCATCATATATGGTGTAAAGAAGCAATTTTAAACGTCACTTAGGTCTGAAAGCTAAGCACGTTTATAGATGAAGTGATTATTGAATAATGAACGTTCCTTAGGTCAAGGAGCTAAGCACGATTTGCTTTGTATGACTAAAAATAAGTGATATGTAAATGTTGCTCAGAAAATTATGAGATGCGTGAAACAATGAACATTGCTTAGGTCAGGAAGCTAATCAAGTATACAATGTTTCTTGTGTTGGGGTTTGGTGATTCCAACTCACCGCAGAAACAAACCCAAAACCAAGACCGCACTCGTAATAAATAAAACCATAAACATAAATAAACTAATTACAAGATTAAGACAAGATAATTACCTTTGGAGTGTGCTTCGCCCAAACGGAAGGGGCTCTTACTTCGAAAGCTAGCCTAAAAAATACGACGGCCTCCAACCATAGTCCACCCACAACTCGACCACCTAAAACGGGCCAATGCCTTGGAGTTGGCAAGGCCCGACCAAAACCCGAGTGATAAGTGAGTTCAAAGGTTTTCACAATGGTGATGCCTTTTTCAACTCTCACTCAAGCAATTTATCCAATACCCCAACTTTGGTATTTATAGGAAAAATAAGAGAGCGAAAAGCTCTTCCATCAATGTGGGAGAATTTGATATTTCCATTTTATTTTAAACCTAAAATAAAATTAATAATCAAACTAATAATAAATCAACAAGTGGCAAGCTCATGTGAAAGGTTAGGTGAGGACCATTTGGAGGAGGGGGGACCAAACTTGCTCCCCACTCACTCCCTCACCTTGCGCCACTTGGAAACTCCCACTTGGGCACCAAGGCACCCAAGTGGGCTACCAATTTTGCTGCTGCCCTTCTCTCGGCCCTGCCATCCCTGCAACACAAATGCGGGCTGCTGCTCTCATTCTCTCGGCCAGCACCCATGCACTTGCGTGCGGGCTGCTGCTGTCGAGAGCTGCTTCTAGTAGGTCGCGCACCTAACGCAGGCTGCTAGCTGCAGCATGCTAGCACACCACGCACTAGGTGCGGGCTGCTAGCTCGGCTATACCCCCTAGCACTCGGTGTTCCGATGCTAGGGGTATTTTGGTCTTTGTTGATTTATTATTATTATCATGTCTCGTCTTTTATCATTTTTCGACTCGACTTCCGACATTTGGTTTCGACGCTCTAAGCTCGAATTCCTGACGTCTTAATATTAATTACTCGGTTGACTTATTAATTAATTCATAATTAATTCGTCGCTTCGATTCGTTAGTTGCTTGGGTGTGACCCGAAGGGTTCAGTCAAGATTAAGCTGTAATATTAATTATTAATTATGCATTAATATTACTGATCGAAAGTGGCCTCCAAAAACAAAACGGCAACAACAACAACCAAAAATCAGAAACTAGAAATCAGTAGTTAGGAATCAGGAATCAAAAACCAACAACACCATCAGAAAACCAGAACAGCAAAGAAGCTCCTTGAAAACCAATTAAGCAATCAAGTATTTGCTTGCCGCTGGGATTTTATAGGCTGAATGAAAGACAATATCCCTAACTAGAACATCAACAGGTTTGTAACAACCAGTAAACAAAACTGCATTCCTCTGAAGCCAAATACCATATACTGTTTCAATGAAGGCTACATGGACCACTTTGTTTTTCAATCTGGAACTTCTGCAGATTTTCTTCAACCATTCAATCTCATCACTAAAATGCTGAACAGGCTTGGAAACATGTAAGATACCCAACACCTTGTTCAAAACCTGTCTAGAGTACTCACAATCAAAGAATAAGTGTTTAACACTTTCATTGCTATTCAAGCACAAGAAGCACCTTGGATCACAAGAAATGTTCCATTGAAGCAACCTATCCTTAGTGACAAGCCTATTCCACAAAGCTAGCCACAAGATAAAAACACTTTTAGGAGTTTCTAAGTTATGACAAATGACTCTCTTCCAAGGAACCTTAGGGACTTGAGGCCGGATAGCGGCATAAAGCTTCTTGATTTTCATCTTGTTGCCCTGTATGAAACCATCCCATCCCCCTTGATCATTCACAACATCTCTACAACTCAGAATCTTCTTCAAGAACCAAGAGCATTTAGCAGGGGTAGGAGTGGTCCAACAATCTTTATGCTTGAAATAATAGATATGGACCCACTTAACCCAAAGATTATTAGCCTTGTGAGCAATATCCCAAAGTAACTTGGTGACAGCTGCTTTATTCCACTCAGGAAGAGAGAGCAAGTTCTAGCCACCACAGACTCTAGGGAGACAAACATAATTTCAAGCAACCAAAGACTTCTTAGCAGGGGCAGAGGAACTAGTCTAGAGAAAGCACCTGAATCTAGCCTCGATCTCTTTCAGAATTTTCTTTGGCAAGATAAAAATTTTAGCCCAATATGTCTGAATACCAAACAACATACTCTTCACCAACTGAATCCTCTTGGCATAGGACAAGTGTTTAGCCATCCATCCTTGGATTCAAGCAGTCACCTTCTCCACCAAAGGCCTACACTGAGCAATAGTAAGCTTCTTGGAAGAGAGAGGGACCCCAAGATACCTAAAAGGAATAGTACCTTGAGAAACACCAAGAAGCTCTCTCAGCTCTGTCTGAACATCAACAGAAACTCCTCCAAAGTAGACTTCACTTTTATCAAGATTAGCAAAAAGCCAAGAAGCACCCGAGAATTTCAAGAAGGCTTGGAAGAGAAGCTTAATAGAAACACTATCAGCTCTAGAAAACATCAATAGATCATCAGCAAACATCATGTGAGTTAGGTTTAACTTTTCACATCTAGGATGAAAGTTAAAATTAGGAGTTAACCTAAGCTCATCAAGGCATCTGGAGAGGTATTCCATACCAATAGCAAAGAGAAAGAGAGACATAGGATCACCTTGTCTTAAACCTTTCTTAGCTTCAAAAGGAGGGGCATGAAAACCATTAATAAGGATAGAATAAGAGACAGAAGTAAGACAAGTCCAGATCCAACTAACAAATCTCTGAGGGAAACCAAGCTCCTACATAACAGTAATCAAGAATCCCCAATCAACTAAATCATAGGCTTTCTTCAAATCCACCTTAACCATGCACCTAGGTGAGATAAATTTGTGATCATAGCCTTTGATCAATTCAGTTGCAAGAAGGATATTGTCACCAATGTGCTTGCCTGGAATGAAACCTGCTTGGGCATCATCAATCACCTCACCAATGATAGCAGCAAGTCTAGCAGTTATGACCTTAGAAATGAGCTTATAAACCACAGTGTAACAAGCTATAGGTCTAAAATCCTTAACATGGGAAGCATTAGGGATTTTAGGAACAAGAGTGATAGTTGTGCAATTCCATTGCTTAGGCAAGGTCCCTCTAGTGAAGAAATCAATAACACTAGCATAAATATCATCTTTCACATTATGCCAAGCTCAGGAGCTTTAGTGTTATCAATTCCCTTAAGGGCATCATCAATTTCAGCATGAGAAACACGCTGAATGAGATAACTCTGAGCAACAGAGCTAAGCTGTTTACCCCTCCTCATAGTAACAAGATCAATAGCAGGAAGCCAAGGAGCCCGAGTCCCTAAAAGAGACTTATAGAAGGAGATAATTTCATGAGAAATAGCATCCGGATCCTTAAGCAAAACCTTGTTAGAGTCGAAGATGGAGTGAATTCTATTCCTTGCATGTCTATTCTTCATCACAGAGAAAAAATAATGAGAATTGCCATCTCCAAGCTTAATCCAGTTGATCCTAGATTTTTGTTTGAAGATGCTTTCCTGAATATCATTCCAGTGTTTGACAACCTTAATAGCATCAAATTCTTTAGCATATAAATTCAAATCATCAGGATTCTGAGCCATTAAGTTCTAAATTCCAGCTAGCTCAACATTATCTTGATCAATCTTCTCCTCAATGTTGCCAAACTACTTGTTATTAAGAGACTTGATACTAGACTTCACAGAATTAATCTTCTGCTAAACAGAACTACTAAAACCCCAAGCTTGAGAAACATTAGCAAGGAAATCAGGATGATTAGCAATACAGTTTAGAAACTTGAAAGGTCTACCTCTCCCAGCAGGGGTAGAACAAACATCCAACAGAACTAGACTGTGATCAGATAAAGCGGGAGGGGGGGGGGGAGATACACCGTCTCAACATGCCCATGAGAGGCCAGCCAAGCTTGATTACCAAAGACTCTATCAATCCTAGAAAGATTTCTAGGACTAGAATGAGCCTTATTTGACTAAGAGTAGAAGTCTCCTTTGCTCTTGACCTTAGTGAGGTCCAAATCATCAACCAAACTCTGGAAATCTCTAGTCTCATAATCAGTAACATCAGTACCATGAAGCTTATATGAAGTATGAAGAACAGAGTTAAAGTCACCAGCACAAAGCCAAGAAGAATGCTGGATAGAGATGCTCCTAATTCCTTCCCACATAGGAAGCCTATCATGAATAGAGAGAAGCCCATAGACAACAATGAGATGAATCTGAGTAGAAAGATCCTTAGAAGAGACACTACAATAAATGAATTGTTCATGAATCTTCAATACATTGACAGTTACTCTATCTGCATTCCAACCAAGCCAAATCCTCCCTTTGGGAGAATGATCATAATTGCACATCCAAAGCCAAGAAGAGCCAAACTTTCTCTGATAAGTGAGAACATTTTTTGATTTGATTTTTGTTTTAAGAAGACCAATAACATCAAATGAATGAGAATGAAGCAACCTCTTAATAGAGGCAACTTTGCCAGGGTCATTCATGCCCCAGACATTCCAGATAGAGTAAATCATGACACCAAAGGGGGATTAACCTCACCCCCGCTTGGGTTTATAGTGAAACCACCTGCACCATCCATTTCATTTGCAAATAAAGCCACAAAAGCATTAGAGGTAGAGGCAAGCTGATGAACTCTAGTTTGCTGGCTTTTTGTCTTCCTTCCAACTATTCTCCACCCCTCATCTGAATTTTGAGAAGTATGAACCTGTGGAGTAATGACAGATTGCCCATGAACAGAAGCACCAACATCAACAACAGGAGCAGGAGCTTGGCTAGGCTTAGGAACCCAGGCCTGCTTCTGCTTAAGAGCAACAGGAGCTGGCTTCTTATGAACCTGCATAGGCTTAGGAGCAGGTTTAGTAGAGCAATCATGACCAACCTTGTTACAGTTAGAACAGAAAGGTGGAGCCAACTCAAACACTACCTTGAGTTCCAATAGTTCCTTTGAAGGACTCTCAACTAAAACAGAGTTAGGCATAGGCTTTGTAACATCAATTTCAATTAGGACCCTAGAAAAAGACATTCTAAGTTGTCTAGTAGTACACTCATCAGCACAAATTGGCACTCCAAGCAAACTACCAATACGGCTAAGAGTGTCAGATCCACAACAATTAAGTGGGAGATTAGGAAACTTAACCCAGAGAGGAACTGTAGGGAATAATTTCAAGCCTTTAAAATCCCACTAGCTTGAACCCCACTGTGATTATACACTAAAGTATGGTGGCGTCCAAAAGGGAAGAAGATAGAGCAAAAGAGTCGCCATCAAGTTTTTTTAGGAACTTGTAAACCGTTCATAGGATGAAGGTTACACCCCTTAACGATCCAAGAGATCGTCAACTCCATAAGGTCTAGAACCAAATAAGGGTTCGGGGATGAAGGTACAAATCCAACCTAAAAGAGATTGAACCTACCCTAATAATAGGCCTCTACATTATTCTTATCGTATTCATGTGTGCTTTCTAATTAACATGCAATCAATAGAATTAACCCTAAACCTGTTTAATCTATGTTGGTTGAGTTTTAATGCACAAACAAACTATTATTGGCGATCACATGAATTATAATCACATTAACCCTAAACAAGATTATTAAATATCTTATTAATCGTGATTACAAGTACCAAATTCCCTTTAAACATGCATAAAGGCGATCAAGCAATAAAAATAAAATATCAAGCAAAATAATAAATAAATAATCATAATCATATCATAATAATAATCATAATCATAATATATAAAATAATCATCATCAAAATAATAATAACCATAGATCTTGCGAATGCGGAATCAAAATAATAATAAATAAATCTTTCGAATATGGCTAGGTGTTTCTAGATCTTGCGAATGCGGAATTTTGTATGAGAAAACAAAGTTTTTAAAAGAAAGAAAGAAAGAAATGAATGAATCAAAGAAAGCTAAAGAAAACTTGTGAATTGGGAGAATTGGTGAATGATAGATGTAGATGATGAATGAAAACGGAGTTTTTAATACGATATTTATAGAGAAAATCAGCCAAAAAAGATAAATAAACCAAACAGAGTCTGACGCTCAGAAAACAGAGCTGGCGCCAACCCTGGCTAGCTGGCGCCAGGCACGAACACTAGCGCCAGGCGCCAATGGCTAGGCGCCAGGCTTGGTTCCAGGCGCCAAGGCCTGGGGTTAGGCGCCAAGCCTGATTTTGATTAAAATAACATAATTTCCTCGAAATGCTATTTGATTTTGATTAAAACTCTGAAAAGTCAACAAAAGTCAATTTATCAATGCTAATCGAATTCGGAATGAAAAGAACCTTCTAGAAGAATCTAGAAGACTAAAACCATTCCTAATTGCATTAGGAATGATAAATCATATTAGGCCCTCCCCTATATCATTGGGCCGTACATAAAGCTCAAACCGGGCCCAGTTTGGTAAATTGGCCATAACTTCCTCAATATTCATCGGAATTGGGCTTATAATATATCGTTGGAAAGGTCTTTGCAAGCCATCCAACTATACTACTATTGGACCCATATCATGGACCAACCAAACTGGATTGGCTGTTTTCTTAAAATAAGTTTTCAAAAAAACAGAGAGAAGAGAAAAGAAATAAAAACTTTCCGCAACACTAGACTTTCCACACTTTCGCTTCATTCGATTATGATTCGACGTGAAAGGTACTCATCACTGGGTTTGGTTTTGGGGAGACACAAATGGGTGTCTACAGAAGCCCCCACTTTGACTGAGTTTGGAGAAACGCAAGTTTCGAAAACAAAAGTCAATGTATCGATAGGGACGCAGAATGATTCAGAACGTTCTGCGATCCTAAATCAATCTTGCAACGCCGATTCCTGTAAAATTAGCATTAGTTAAACAGATAAAAGAATTAAGAAACGCATATCTTGCACCGTCGAGCACACGTCTCTGAAAGTAACCAATTGTTTTGATGACCTCTACAAGCTAGAGAATGCCATCCCGCTTGAAAACCGCTACGCCTGTAACTGCTTCCAAATTTGGAAGATTGCTTCGACTGAAACGATCCTCCTCCGCATTGATAATATTCCACAACCTAGGGAATACCATCGAAGATTATTTCTCTTGAAACAATCTCCATCCGCATTGATAATATTCCACATCCTAGGGAATACCATCGAAGATAACTTCGCCCGAAATTACCTCCAGTTGTTCGTGACAACTTTCCGCAAGCTAGGGAACGCTGTCGAAGATATCTTCTCTTGAAGTCACCTTCATTTGATGCGATAATTTTCCAAAGGAAATTACCGAAGATCCACGCCTGTCGATCTTTAAAAGTTCGCCTGAACTTTGCTTCCGCTATACCTGTACATCGGCGCTTCTGTTGCCTTGAACTTGTACGTCGGTGCTCTTTTGCTCTTGAACCTATATGTCGGTGCCTTTTTGCGCTTTTGAACCTATATGTCGGTGCTTTTTCGCTAATGAGCCAATGCTTAGGCGCTTTAAGCTAAGTGAGACGATCTCTTATCAGGTCGATCACTTTATGTAATCAAACCGATTATTAAATCATGTCAAATTGCTTAGAGGGGCTAACTGGCGTACCAAGGAACCCAAAAATATGTTGCATAAGACTATCTTAGCGCCGCTGAAAAACCATCAGCGC